ATTAAATATGCTGAATCCCCTTGAATCCCCTAACAATAATGTAATCGATAGACTTACTCCGCCTCCCACACCCGCTGTCCGAACAGTGGGAGAAGAAAAGATGCAATTTTGGCTAAACGCTTCAATTTCAAACTAAATGATACATAAAAATAAAATGTTTTCAAAAGAAAACAAAACGATAAACGGAAATACGGAAAAACGATAAAAATATTGGCATGCACTTTGCAATATACCAACTTACTTATCATTTATCGTTTATCGGTATTTTACAGCTTGGAATGCCGCAGAGCGATTAAGAAGTGGTCTCAATAAGCCCGTTTAAGGGAGGTAAACAGATTATCATTCATCTCCTGGCGCCACCAACCAAAGCATTAAAGTAGTATCATACATGTAAGTTAGAAGTAATAGCAACACATATATGTATATAACATAAAAACAAGGTTGTAAAGATAAGAATTTGGGAAGTTGGATGGTGGACAATCTGTTTCGTGTATCAATAGTTAACCAGGGACAAACAAATATAAGAATACTTGAAGCAGAACGCAGTTACCAAGCAGAGCCATAAAATAATATTATCTGACCTGATAAGTGAAGCTATACGGTAAAAGTGTGTATTCTAGTGCACAAGATTTAGTCATCTAGCAAACAACCGACAGACACGGTTATCATATGCAAAGGCTTGTGGTATACGTGTCAGAGGGCTACACATAATACAGTTGCTTCTTTATATTGATGTCCCGGTCTTCTTAACAACTCGGTAAGTAGTATATAGGTGTATTTTTCGTTCATATGCTGAATATATTACCAACTTATCTCAATAGAAAAGGCAACATATGTTTGGTAAAATAAGGCAAGTGATCGATTGCTGAGTGTCATTTAGCTAACTTTCTAATAGGCTCACTTATCAGTGAACAGAAGGTAGTGAAGAACAAAGGCGGCCAAAGACAAAACTGCAAAGGCAGTTTTTTTCAGCACAACCATTGCAATTAAACTGGCAATAAAGAGTGCAGCAATTGCTCTTTCTTCAACATACAAACTGACTATTCTTTAACATGCAAACTTTTCAAAAAAAGGGTGAAAAAATTTAATGATTTAAAATTTTCGAACATATGGTCGGAGAGCCTGATATCTGGGGTTTATGAATCTGCTTATTGGACAAATAGGCTCAATTGCGAAAGTGCCCAAAAATCCAAGATAGCCGCCACTCGAAGGAATATGCAATAAATGGATAAATTATAAAAAATGGTTGATATTTTCAGTTTGTTTCAAGGTTGATATTTTTATTGTCCATATATCGTGGAGATATGTACTATCTGGTGATCTGTCGCAGGAATTGGTCAATTGGATTCAATATGCCGCTCTATCCAAGATGGCGGCCAATATTTCAACATTTTTTGCAATTAAATCATCTTTTCATTGATCTAGAATTTATTTCAATCATGATATGAGCAAACGTTTATCAAATATAGATTGCCTCTACTTTTTCCTGCATTTGTACCATCTATGTATAATATAGAGGCTTTGTGAATACAAAAAAATCCAATATGGCCGCCACACACCCCTTACCATTATGAGTACAGGTACCATCTTTATGTACCTGTATATGACATGTAGCCGGGCTTATTATTATTTTTGGCGGTGATTGGGAGAAATATTGTCACAGAAATAAACACAAGTCTCAGTTTGTTTCCAGAATCTGTATTGACTATTTTTCACGATTAAAGAAACACCTAAACGGAGTCCGCTTATACAATTGGGCCGTCACTCCGTCTATCCTAAAATAAAAATAACAAAAATATAGTAATTATCAAAAATATCAAATTACGTAAGAAAATTACTTAATTCATACGTAATACGGCGAACACTAATTGTCTCTTATCCATACATAAACAACATGAGTGGTATGTGTAACATCATAGGTCGCATTCAACGATCTTCCCATATTACTGTACGATCTCAACTACCGCATCCCCTCTCCTCCAGCGGAGACTATTCGTTGGTCTCGTCACTTATTATTTTCAATGCAGTCTAACAATAAAACAAACTACCACTCTTATGATAAATCAGTGTACTAAGATACAGCGAGCACGCCGCACGCGTCAAGGCAATGTAAACCTAAACACAGCCGTATACGTACTAGCGTTCGCCAATGACCCGTTACAAACATGACCTGAGAAGTATGACATAATATCCTGAGCGCCTTTGTTCTAGCAACAGCGGCATTATTCATTGAAATATTAAATAAAACGCTAGTTTTAACTAAATCATTCCCGTTAGAGCACTGTAGAAAACAACGCACAAATTATTACTGTATTGCTGTGCTAACAAAAGTCGAAAACGCTAAGTTACCATCTATGTAGGTAGCGCTTAACGGCATTAACGGCATAGACATATAAAGATCTAAAAATTCGTCAATATATTGAAAAAAAGATACAGCTGTGCACAGCAGTCGGAGATCGGTACAGTCGGAGAATTATTTTCCATTTACACTCTTTGTCGCAATGGCGGTCGATGCAGCATTCATTTTAAAACAAGTTGACCGCCAATTAAGCACGATTTTGCACCTTCAAGTTCCGTGTCACGTTTTCATATCATGCATTTATTATTTCTACAAGTTTTCTCTGCCCAAAATGCGTAAAGAAAAAGTGTTATCTTTCCATGTTGTTTAGAAAACTTCTTTTTCCTCCGACAACCCGTCTTCACTGCCGTTCACCTCAATGTTAAAATGACCACTCAGCTTCGTTTCTAACACCACTGCACGTCACTTCCGGCACAATTCTGACCAATGCTGATCTTCTCCGGTTCCCTTTATTG